AGTAACGGAAACCGCTCCCGCACACTGCGGAACCCGGGGGCCGGCGCAAGAGGAACACAACGGGCCCGGGAACTGCCAACGGAAACCAGCAAGGCCCGGGCAGGAGGAGGACCGAAAACCGATCCCCCACTGGCCAGGCCTGAAGTAGATAAGACGCAAATGAAGATATCGATGCATTGGAGCACGCACCCACACAGGCGTGTGCTCCTACGTGGATACTGAGCGGGTACACACAACCAATCATATGCGTGTTTCCCACCGCATGCAGAAGCTGCCGGACAAGCAGGCAGGCTGATAGTCGCAAGAGCATTTGCATTTGCTGTAGTTCCACAGGTTCAAAGTGATGTATGATTGAACTCGTTGCAGATACTTTTATGTGTCTTCATATGTGCGTATTGTTTGTCAAGAAGGTGAAGTTCTTAACCCCTGAACCCTGAACCCCAGGGCTGCCAGCACCGGTGGCAATAGAGGATGGAAAGATGTAGTGCGGCTGCTTAAAGGCAAATATCATGCAGGGCTAGAAGCCTCTATGTCCACAGCAACCTTCATCGACACAGTCTGATTTCACAATTGACAAGGTCGTGGCTAGCGGAATGAGTGCAATGTCTAGCTTTCGACATGATTGAGAGGTCTGAACCCCTAGATCTCAAAGACCGAAAAGCGGTCCCTGAGTTTAGGAAGCGACACAACAGTCACGATCGGACAGGAGGGTCCGCGGGACGTGGTTTCTGTGACCTTGTGTTGCCCTGAGCATATTACGGGATGTTACGGTCTCAAGCCTGGTTCCTATTAGCAGTTCCGTTTACGGGACAACCTGTTCCCGTTACTGCAAACCCCTCCACGTGTCCATTCGCATAGCCACATCCGAGATGCCTTCGGGAACAAAGACGGAGCTGAACCCAGCCAGTGCGGCTGCAATCAAGAGTCAAGAGATTGGCACAATGCTTAAAATAACATGCCGCGCCGGAGGCTTCTGTTGCCTCAGCGAGCCTTCGCTTAAAGCCAAAATTTGCAAGGATCGGGGAAATCCTGGAGCTCCTGCAGCCATTCTGCAATTCGGCAGTACTTGCGTACAAGTGCAGTCTGCGCAGGGATTGCCTGGCCCACGGGCCCAAGTGAGCCTCTGAAAGGTATGCAACATGATGGAACCATGGGATACAAAGTAGAATCTCAACTTCAAAGCCGGACTTGCCAATGCGACTCATTGAGTCCGGCACTTGCCAAAAACCTGTTGCAATGCCAGCCATCGCCTGGCGACAAATCTGCCAAGTCCCTTGGACTGAGCATGGCTGCAGCTGGTGGAAAAATAGTGGCATGTGGTTACAGGCCAAGCAACTCTGGATAAGTTCCGAGGCGATCTGGCCAGGCCTGCACAGCACCGGTGCTCTGACCCCTTACTGGTCAACAAATGCTGGTCTGCTTGCCGGGCCTTGACAGATCCATGTCGTTCAGCCCCACCTGAAGCTTGCAGGCGAAAGCAAAAAAAAAAGCAGTAGGACAACAAGACTTTGCACCTGCTGTGCAAGATGGGATCTGCCCTCCTGGATTCCACCTGAGTTTGCAACGTGTCTTCAAGTTGGCATCTGATGATGGGATCGACTCACAGGCCCGGGACTTGAAAAACTCGAGAAGTCGGGCTTTACTCCGCAGATAGGCAGCTGGATGAGTGCCTCGTGCATTCTCGCCTTCACAAGCAGTCAGGAGGAGAAGACTCGAAACTGCTCCGCACTGCAGTGAATGCAGTCACAGGCGTCAAAAGCATGCGGCTCCCATCGCCGCCTCCAACAGGATGCGCCTTGGAACCGGAGCTCTCTCCAAGCCGGCTCGAAGGCAAGAAGCCATGTCTGAGCCCACAGCAAGTTTTCCTGCAGATCCACTCTCAGAGCATCACCGGTATGGCAAGCCACCTCCCAAAAGCTCCCAAGCACGGTCTCGTCACCATTCGGCAAATGCGCGAAGCAGTTCTCAAATCCGGTGAAAGAAAATCCAAGCTCCTTTGGCCCACAGAGCTGGGCCTTGGCTGATGACTCCAAAGCGGCAGTTGCCGCAGCGGATTGCTGCTTCGCTCGAACCTGCTCCGCGGCCAAGAATCTTGTGTGCGCCGGTTCGTTGCACCGCGCCTCGTTCAACGCATCCTCGAACTTGACTCGGTGACCGTTCCGGAAAACAACTGGTCGATACTGATCGTTCCTTCCAAGGCGGAAACGCTTTTTCCCGGGTCGTTGACTGCTGGTGCACTGGGAACACATGCAACGCTGTCATATCCAAGCCGCAACGCTAATAAGCATGGCTCTTCAGCTGCACGTGTGAGCATCTTCACAGGAATACCGATTTCCTCCCCCTGCGCCTAGACAGAAGCACGACCCGGTGCTCGAAATGCTGCAGGTTCGCTTCCAGACCTCCACTCAGCGTCAACAGCAGATGAATCACTTCAAAACCTGACGAATGCGAAGCATCTCCCCAAGACAAAAACACCTTGTAGATGGGCGTTGGAAACCGCGGCCACCTGCTCAGCTCTATCTTGCATTGTTCCAAAGCAAATAGGCACGCTGCGCACTGGTGGGGAGCCACAGCCGACAGGCTTTAATCTGCATGGACGTCTGAGAGTGCCCTGTCTAAAACGTGAGCGGTCGCACATTGCACCGGTATTGCAATAGTTTCCAAGCAAAATCGTCCAGAAAGGAGGGATGGGCAGGAAAACCGAGTGGCACTTGCACAAACCGACGCAAGCAGATGTGGTGGGCTGCCGACTGTGTGAAGCGGCATTTTGAAGTGATAGCTGTGTTGGGTGGTAGACTGTAACAACCACATTGCTTACACACTTGACGAGGAGGAGCTTTAGAAAGACATCTCTTGCACAAGTCCAAGGAGGTCTGACAATATTTTGGAGTCAGATGGGCACACTGGCGTCCAGTGGGTTTTTCGCGTTTGTTCCATCCGGCTCCCGCCGGTCCCCAGCTTTGGCCAGCAGCCCAGCCTTGCGACTTCTGACCCTGTGGAACTGCCGACCGTGGAACTCGTTTCGGAAGTTCTCGGCCTGGCAAGAAGCTTGGAACGGGTGGGGGCAGGGGTCCACTGGTCACTGTTAGTCCTGTGGCCTCTGTTGGAGAAATGAAGTTCAAGAAGGCGTAAGCGACATTGCTTCGATTGTGCACGTCCTCGCATGACAGCAACATTGATGGACAATGATGGACACTGCAAACCCTGCAAGAAAGCAACACCAAGCCGTCGAAGGATGCTGGGGTCCAAGCCATTGGTAGGTAGAAGAAGTCAAAGGCACCGCGGAAACCACGTGCGCAAATCTCCTAAGACGCTAGTAAATCTCAACAGCAATTCTGAGAACGATTGAGGCCTGCATCAAGCTGTTCTGCGTGTACTTGTTGGGGATGTTTCTCAGCATCCTTTGTAATGGCCAGCTGTCCGCAACTGGTGCTGGAAGCTGCAAATAGCGGGTGCCAGACAATGTGGTCACTGGCTCGTCGCCACACGCAGCCTTGGAAAATTAGAGCTAACCCAAAAGACAGACCGCTGTTTTATGCCGCCTCGAGGATTGAAGATCGAGGAACTATCTTCGAGTGGTAGGGCTTGAAGCCTAGGAAGACAACACGCGGATGAAGACGCTTCCCTGCAAACCAAGCCGACACACTTCCACTCCATATGACAGTGATGACAGAGCACTCGTGCTGCAGTTTGGGATGCGGCTTTTTTTGCTTCTGTTTCCGTCCTCCGGGTACTGCAACCAGGGCAGAGCTGAAAGGGGTCATGTGGGACGTGCATCGCAGACCGCGCAGCAGGATCTCTAGGAGCTCCTCGCCCATGCCTGGCACATCAAAGGATACCCCGGTGCCTTGCTAGAGCGATGCGAACTTGTGAGATGCACTCGGTCTCCGCATGCTCTGCTCAGAGCTGAGAGTCTAGTCTCGGGCGCTGGCTGTCTGCGGAGAATGAAGTCATTCCGTGGTCCCGAGAGGCCTTCAACAAGTTTCGTCGCGACAACCCGGCCCAACATGCAACAGCCAGGAGCCGGAGACAGCCCGAGCTATGTGGTGTTAAAACACGGGTTTGCAGTTGGAACCTGCCTGCAAGCAGTCAGAGACCATGGCGTCACGCGCCGGTAGAGAGACAAGTGATTTAAACACTATCTGTCTATCTACCTCTCTATCCATCTATCTATCTATCTATCTATCTATCTAGCTATCTATCTCTGTAGTCTATATATATATATATGTATTTTTTACTGATGAATATTTGTGAGCACAGCTTTGGCGACACTATTTCGATGTTATGAGCATTTATGAGACATGAGCCTCGCACATCGTGGCATTGTATCTTGCCAGTTGGCACTGAGACTGCGCAAGCCGACAACATTCTGTTGCTACTCTGCGATCAACCGTTGAAAACAGCTTCGGGGATGCAGTGTCCATGCAGCTGTAGTACAAAGTCAGCACAAGCCCCGTGCCGTTTGTCCGCTATCTGCTGCCGAAAATGCATCATGCGTCATGCCAAGAAGTGAGTAGATGACGGTAGACGCCTACAGCAGGAGCCTGTAAGCGTAGATCGCAGCTCGGAGGAAGAAAAGGTAAGAAACGCAAAGCGAACAAGGAGGCTAACGTGCCTTTCTCCCTACATTGGCACAGCATCGCATTACTGCTTCGTGACGGAGAAGAAGGCACTGTACATCTACACTGTAACTGAGCAGAGTCCGCATGCAGGTTTTCCCAGACCTCCCCGCAGGCGCTGGCGTCGCGAGGCTCGAAGTGCAGCTCCGGCTTGACGTCTCACAGCGCTGTCACAGCAGTCGGCGTCAGGGCATTTTCCAACTCGAAAACCGTGGGACCTCGGACTTCTGCTGGAGGCGCACGAAATGCAGGCGATTCGGGCTGTGCGGGCGATTGGATGCGTCTCTCTCGTCGTAGGTCAGGTGGATCCTCCTCCACGTCCAGCTCCACAATGCCGCTTCTTGGCTCATCGCGGCATCCGCACCGTGTGCAGAGCGGGAACCTTTCCTGAGTTTCGAAGGGGCCTAAATGCCCGGTCCGGTAAAATGCACGAGACAAGCTTTCGGGGCGGGAGGGCAAATCTTACAAATACTGAGAACAGATCAAGCAACATGTGCATGGGGACAGCTACCATAATCGGCCGAGAGACGGGCTCGCTGCGCACCTGGCTCATGCCCATCGCTCGGCGATACCGGGCTTCATCTGACTGTTCCGACTAGACTCTAAGTCTGAGCTGTGTCTTGCTGTGTCTTACTGGACTCTGATTCGACTGCGCTGGGGCCCGTGGGCCCGTAGGCATTCATGACTCGTAGCTCGCAGCACGCGGCGCGAGAGAAGGCTCTTTCCATGCTTCACAAGGCCGACTCCTGAAGCCGCAGGTGTCACGGGCGTTAGAGAGCGATCGAGCCTTTGAAGTGCGACTTGCGCTGTCTTGATCTTTCTTGCGCAGGCACAGTTCACGCGGGCAAGGTCAAGCCTGGCCACATAAGGCGGTGAGGACATGTCAGGACTCCCGAGCAGTTGAGGCTCGCGCAGAACCAGATCCCATGCGGCGCGGCACCATCAACGACATCAGCCTGAGGACGCCTCCACTCTATGTTAACAATTCACAGTCACATGATGACTTCGAATGATGATGCAGCATGCATTTATGTGACCCTGTGCCTGCTCGAACTTGCTCCTCCTCGTCGCCCGAGATACTTAGTTGAATCCACCTCGAGGGCGGAAACATGCTATACACAGCGGGAAGAAACGTCTATGGAATGAACTTCAGGACAGAGCAACTTCATCGCTGCAAAAGCGAACTTGAGGAAACCGCTGCAAAATTATTAGTGGTCTCATGTCCCAACAATCGAAAACGTGAAGAAGTCCGAAGCTTCCCACGGCACCTAATCCAGAAGGCCTGGCCTTGCATGATGGGGCTCTGCACCCGGCTCTTCCACGTCCACGTAGAGGCCACTCGCACCCAGTGCTTCTAACCTTGCCATGCTGCCCCATGCGCTGTCACGAGGGAACCACATGTTGGCCATTCTCAGGAAAGTGCCATCCTTTCTCTTGCAGCTCTGCAAAAACGTCTCGTGGCACAGGAACTGTTTGCCTCGCTGCGGAACATGCGGAACGATCGAAGCGGAGGGCGAGGCAAGCGACGCCATGTCTCAGAGTGAGGCGAAGGTGCCCTGCTCCTGCGCGTGGCAAGCTCCTCGCATGGCACAGTCTGGAACAGGAAGCAAAGCAGCAAAGCTTGGAGATTGCCGCGGCCTCTTTCTTGCGGTCTGAAACCTCTTTCGCCCGCTCGAGCATTTCAATTGCCTCTCCATCTTCTCCGTGCTGCTGTGGCGGAAACTGCCAAACATGATGACCTTCATTCGATTGCCCTCATTGCGTCGCTTGGAGGTCTTCGGCGACACACCAGCGAAGGGTATTGCGTTTGACCCATATCCTGGCAGAGACCCACCAGAACTTTGGCCAAAAACATGCGGCTGCGGGCCTTCACCCGGGGTATACGCACGGATGCCTTCGGGCATAGGGGGCTCGACCTTTCGTATCAGTCTCAGCTCAGGACGAAACAACAACGTTGATGAAAACTTGGCTTCCGACCAGGTGTGCATTCCTCACTTTGCCTTGCTTCACCAGCGTCTGTGCCTGCTAACGTGCGCAGAGACGCAGTTGAAACCTTGCTTGCACTCTCGGGAAGCCTCGGACGAGGAGCGAGCCAGTTCGGCCGATTTCTCGGACTCTCCGTCCGCTTCGTCCGCTTCCAGGTACTCTAAGGACTCGGAGACGAGCTCCTGCGTCTCCGGCGCCGTCTCTGCCGTCTCTGTCGCGGTGCTCGACGTGACGGGAGTGCCCGTGTCACCTGGCGAGCCGGTTCTCGCGGTCCGTCTGCCGAGGCTCTGCCCTGGGCCGCCGCCTGCCCTCCGCTGGGTCCGTCGAGCATGGCTTCTCCGCCACTGCACCGCCTGCCCACACAAGCTGCGCCTTTTACGGGGCCTCTGTGATCTCTGTGTTCATCGGGCCACCGCAAGACTGGCAACGCTCAGCGCAGGCTGCGGCCGCGTCCTGAAGATCTCTACAAGTGCAGAAGCATAAGACACAAGCGCCTCGGTCAAGAGCACCAGGCCCAGGCCTGGACCATTCCCGTTTCGACCAGTCAGCCTTTCCCACACGATCCTACGCTCCCCCTTCCATCGGACTGAGCAGAGCCTGCCGGCTTGGCAATCTTGGCAAGGTGCTGGTGCTTGGCGAGTGGAGGGCTCGTCCTTGCTTCGCTTAATAGCGAGTGTGGGGGGAGGCGAGGAGCGAGGGTCCCTGAGGGCCTCTGGAAACAGGCAGCGCAGCAGCCGCCCCATCCCATTCCATGCTGCCTTCTAAAGGGCCTAATTAGTCTTGCAGAGTCTCCTCTCTACGTAATCTGCTTTGTGGAGGTAACCTGTGAATACCTGCGACGCTCTGATGAGAGGCGGTGCAGCAGGAGACTGCTGGAAAAGATGCCTTGTGCGCTGGCAGGCATTGCATCGTCGTTCCGTTTTCTGCTCATCAATCGAGGAGCTGCGCAAAGAAGTAGGGGCCCACCGCAACGACTAGCACGAGCAAGAAAAGCAGAATGACCTCAGCAAGCCGAAGCTGCAAGCAACGGCTAGCCGGCTCGCACTTCAGCAAAGTCTTGGATCCGTACCTGCGACGTTTGCTCTCCTGCTGGCTCCTCCCTCTCCTCTTTCTCTTTTGTGTCTGTAGCAGTCCGGCTGCTTTGCTCAAATCCTTTGCGGATCTGCTTGGCTCGCGTTTTCGATGCGCCTGCACTTGCCGTCTTGGAGCTACCCTTTCGTGCCATACTCACTCCTTCCTCTGTTGTTTTGGCCTGAAGCTGGGCACAAAGATCCACTTCTGAGCACCACATTGTGCCATGGCGCAACTGTTGTAGAAGGCCTCATCAAGCTGTTGAGACAGTTCTTGCTGAAGCTGCGCCACCTGCATCAGAATGCTGATAACTGATAATATCTTCAAGAAGTATCACGAATTGACGACCGAGTTGCCATCAGAAGCGTGACAAACCACAAGTTCAGGCTTCCAGATCGTGCCAGTCATCGCTTGAACTTTCGGAGGGACATTTGCAAAAGCTACTTTCAGGGAAAGCTCAGAGATGTGTGTCGAAGCTAGACAGCAGCAATACCTCTAGAAATGAAAGAGCTAGGGGCCTCAGCCTGGAATTGCGGTCTGGTCTGGTGCGTTTTCGCTGCGGCCAGGCCTCTGACTTTGTCTGAACACGTCGTGCTTCAAGCTTCTTCATGCGGGCCTGACATTCCGAGCATATCGCCGTGAGCACTGCCGAGAATCGCGGAGCCTCGGCTCTGGCGAGCCGTTGCAGGTGCTCAGCCGCAATGCCCTTCAGACCTCGGAGCACGCCGTTTTAAATACACTGTTCGCCCTTTCCGTCGTAAGAATGCGGGCAAAGGAATTGACGCCGGACATGCGGGCAACAGCGAGCGAAAAGCCCGGGACGCCGATTTCTGTCTCTAGGACTCGAGGAGTTGAGGTTTTCAGCTCTGGGGTCGAAGGGTTCCCGGCTTTGGGCCGGTTAGGGTTTTGGGGATCCTGAGAGCCAAGGGATTGGGGATGCTTTTCGTGTAGACGGTGCGCTTTCTTCCAGGTTCAGGCTTCTGAGCGAGTGGGGTGTAGGGTCGTGAGGGTCTCGATTGAGACTTAAGGCGCACATTGTTTACAGGTGTTCCACAGTTTGATTTCTTAAGATTGCCAGGGCTTTGGCTTGTTGGTGCTTAAAGTGTTTGACGCCTTCAGTTTCAATTTATGCAAGTAATTGGCACAGTGAACCCGCAAAACCCTCATGAAGGCTCTCGGCGGCTTCAGGTTCCGAGTTTGAGCTTCAGGCTCTTGCGACCAGACCATGCAGCAAAAAAGTAACTCACTCCGAGCACTCCAACAAGGCGCTGTCTGTCGTTTGCCAGTGGCACCATGGCTACATGGATCATATTGAAATCTAGCGAGAGAAAATCGTAATTCGCTGCTAGCACGACCAAATGACAAATTCCACAACCCTCGGGCACAGGAAAGCATGATGGACACATTCTGCCAAGCAAACCACACTTGAGCATCATGCGCACGTTCGCTTTGTCCAGAACATCCACTTGGTCAGCTGCAAGGGCCTGCTGCGTTGACTGACATGAGATACTCTACAAATGCCATGACGAGCAATGCGCCTGGTGCCGTTCGAACATCTCAAGCTCTTCGTGCCAGTCTTTAGCATGGGCTCTGTGCATTTGTGCATTCCTGCATCAGCATTTTGACGAACCGATATGTTGCTGCAAACAACGACTTGTGGTCAAACGAGAGCCTTGCAAACTCGTCTACCTTGCTGCGCAGCTCCAGCTGTTGGTTCAGCAAAGCCTCCAAGCTGCACATCCACGCGTGCATCTAGGCGTCTACGGAGATCCACTCAGTCACTAACGCATATGAGATCTCGCTAGCACAAAGCCAAGCCCGAAGCTCGAACTCTGGCGACGAGGCGGAATCAGGACACAAAGCGCGTTTCATACTTTTGATCGACTTATGTGGATGTTCACCCGATTTCACCCGCCACTGGTACGAAACGGCTTCCGAAGGCTGGGAAAAGTTGAAACTTCGAACGAAGAAGGCGCTATGACTCGCACATGTCGTTATGTTGGCCTGCATGGCATCTCGAAATCGCAGTGCTAACTCTGAACGGCCTACCCGCTGTTGGCGATAATGCTGCAAGCTACGAATGTCGGGTCGGCGAAAGCACGTTGGGGGACATTCGATGGGCCCGTGCACTTGCTCAACATCGGCGACGGTGCGTTGCAACGACGTTAATAAAATGCCAATGTTAACCGCGAAAGAGATTTTCGCAACCACTTCAAAAAACCAACGCGGGCGTGGCAACAGCACAAAACTCTTTGCCCTACAGACAATACAAATAGCAGTAGCAAAAGCCTGGCAGAAGTGGATCAACTTTCCGCGAAGTGTGCAAGTGGACAAGCGCCTTCCTAGTTGGCTTCTTGAAGGTAGGCATTTAGATCGCTCCTCGTGAGACAGGGCTCCGTGACAAAGTGCCGCTCGACCGTCTCGCGGAACCACAGTCTATCGTATTGGATTCTGTCACCGCTGATGCTATGTCAGATCGGGCTTTCCTTTCTTATTGGGGCTGTTCGTCGAGCAACATTCCGCACAGCTCACACACTTTAGCCGGCTAATCTTCTTGCTGGACCCAGTCCTCTCGGTGGAGGAATGCAATCACGTGGTTGGGTCAACCACCGGCTTCTATTCCTTTGTTTTGGTGACCGTTCCACATTTCTTGCATGTCCCTATATCGATATACGCCTTGCTCCCCGACTTGCTGAACTCCTTGCAACCTCCCCGGCATGGTGCCTGGAAAAATGATCGATACCGCTGGCTGCTCTGGTTCAGGCGGGTGGCTAAGAGGGTGCTCCCTTCGGGTGATCTCAGTCGGGTCCGAATCCACAACAACAAAACATTCATGAACCCAACACAAGGAGCTTCGATGGGCATTTTCGCGCTGGCCCCCAAGGACATAACCCGGGTAGGTGTAAAGTACCCTCTGGTAGGTTTTAAACTGTTAGACCTTATGCTGGCCGAAGCTGACAACCGTATCGCTTGCGGGACATGGGCTGCCACGCATTATAGCGGAAGCTGCAGATCTACGAAGTTGCGGGGACACGACGGCTTTACATTGCCTGTACTAGACTCGGGACGACCATAGGACGACCTAACGGCGGAGTCCCCGGCGGGGTAATCTTCCATACTTGAATAATTAATTGTTGCGAAGGTGGACTCGTTTACGCGATCATGCCTTTGTCGGAAACCAGGACACCGATCCTGAGCGACGTGCTGCACGGCGAGCTTTGCCGCAGCGCGCTCGAGCAGCCATCGATCAGGCGACTTCAATGCGCCTCCGGGCATCCTCTTGAAGCAAGCTAGAGCGTCAAAGGAGTTTATCCAGGCCGCCCATCTGCACCGTTGAAAAGCCTGTCTAGATACTGCCCCCGTACCGAGGCATCACGCGATTTCATCTATCCAAAGCAGCTCAGTCACACGGTAGGGATAGATTGCTTAGAGGTTAAGGAGGACTTCGCGGGAAATCGCGACACACCTGTCAACATAGTTGACGTAGGGACGAGTTTCGGGCAAGTTGCCATTGTCAAATCTGGAAGCGGAAATCCGAGCGACAGGCAGCGTCTGTTGGGCGGGGCATCCGTCGAATATTATCACGGACACATTCACACATTCTAAGGAAGACTTTGCGCAGCACTTGACCCAACATGGAGTACCCCATCGCAATTAATGCTCCTTTAGAATCTCCACAGACAATTGGCAAAGTAGAATGCCACGGCCCCATCATCAAGGCTTTGCTAAGAAGGACAGTCCATGAGACTCAGCCCTCCAATATTGAAGAGATGGAAGCTGTGCTAGCTAAGTGTCACCGCGAAAATGAGTCGTCAAGGCACCGATTCAGATGTGTAGGACGCACGACTCCGGTCTTTTGCGTGTGAGTTTGACGGATGGGCTGGGTTTGGAGAGGGAGTGTAGAGTGTTGGCCAGTTTTCGGATGCCGGCGCCGCCAACCCCGATGAACAACCTGAATTCCGACGCAGCGCCGGCTCAGTCTGCTGGGCCGCCCAGCAAGCGGGCAGACGCGAACGACCTGGATAAGCCCGCAAGCCCCCAGCTTATGGAGCATTCAAGCATGCGCATAGACCGCATGCAATCTAAAGAGCGAAAGTCCTCCAAGAAACCCTCTAACGGTGTCAACTCAGCATGCCTTTGGACACTTTGGACAGTCACGTTCGGCGATCATGCTACTCAAGACGCTCAGCAAGCTTCTCCCACCGTGAATGGCACACCATGCTGAATACATGTCGTTGCACAAGACAATGGCGTGGAAACAAATTTCAATCGTACAAAATTTCACGCTGAATCCACTCAGCCAAGGAGCGCCTTTAGAATCTTTGACCAAAAAAAGATCGTATTTAACGCACGTCGCCATATGGCCATAGAACAGCTAGGGATCTCCACGTCGCCCGCCACGGCGCCATGTTCATCATGTTCAGCGCCGAAGCACGTAGACTCGGCGTAGACGCTTTCAGGAGTCCCGCGGCGAGATGCCGACTATTCGGGCACCGGTAAAATCCGGTCGATTTGAAGTGCACACTGCACCGCCAGCAACAAGCCGGGACATGGTTCCCGTGGTACTTGGGCCGGCTAATCCTAGCACGGTTATCGACATCTTCACTGGGATCAGGCAGCCTTCAACAGCTGTTGGGAAGAATTGGATAGCGCTGCCATGACGCTGGAGCATAGCCGGATACAACGGTTGTCTGTGTTTTTGACATGACTTATTTGACCGATCGGTGCTTCACGTCCGAGGCCAGTACGCATGTCAAAAAGCGGTTGAAGGAGGACCTTAAGAAAAGCAGGAATCATGTCGGCAGTAATCCGAATCTGGGGGAAAGTCAAGACCGTCGTGGACCCGGAGAAGTTCGCCGAAGCCACCAGGACTGCCTCCTCTGCGGAGACAGAGAACGAGAGAGCGTTCGATGACCTGGAGGCTGAGAAGGAGAAGCAACCTCTTCTCAAAACTCCCGAGTTCATTGCCTTCTGGCAAACACATCATACCGCCGAACGATCAAGCCCGCTCATGCGGTTAGCTGATCAGGTGAACGGGTACGGCTACAACGGCTTGTACCACGATGATGTGCGAACAGATCATGTTGGAGCCTTTAAGGTTCAGCACATGCGATGGTGACTACGACACCATCCTCACCAGCAAGAGAAGTTCCACCTCAGCGAGACAGAGCATTTCGACACACCGGTGAAGCACTCGCGGTACATCTTGAAGGCGCTCGTAGATTGATAGATGCGTTGGACAACGGAATCCACGCCATCAATATGAGGGCTGTTTGCAAGGCAACAGACATAGTTCTGTTGCGGGCGGCTACCTTTGCATCACATGTGCCGTAACATCAAAAGTGTAGCTGCGAATTTTAACTCAAATGGGTGACGCCGCATGGCGTTTCAATGCTGCAAAGGCAGGTGCAGCACATGTTCGCAGGCCGGGCCCCACTATATCAGCGGGCGACGGAAATCCAAGACAAATTCATAGATGAGAAGGCTTCGGCCGGGGCTGAGTGCGACGAGTGCATACTCAGCCTCGAGCCACAGACTGAACGTGCATGCGACGCATCATCGGCAGCAGCGTCGACGCACAACCACTAAGGCCCGATGGACTTAACGCCAAAACCGGAGAGACCGTTCAGCAGGCCGCAACCCGTATGGGGCTTAAGGGCAAGAACCACGCAGCTTGTGTTGCCAAGTGGGCACCCGATAGCCTCACAGCCGCCATGAAGCGCAGCACCGGTGGTTTTATGCCCGGGTACAATGGGCTCAATGCTGCTAGTTTTACAACTGTACGCAGCAGAACCCACGACGAGCGAACGGCAAGTCCAAAGGCGACTAGCAATTGTTGCAGCGCCTGCGGATTGGCTCCGCTGGGTCTCTCTTATCCACTAACATACTAGAGTTACTAGAGTTGGCATCCAGCATGAGCAAGGGACCAAGCCATACTTGATGATATCGGCGAAGTTTCGCTGGCAGCCCACCGTGGCTGAAGCCCCACAACAGACCTACTTGCCTCCCACGCCTGAGGAGCCTCAGGCCGAGGGAGCGACCAGTGCATTCTTGCCAAGCCAGGCGCCTCCGGGGCCATAAGGAAGACCTTCCAGAATGTTGCCTACGCACTCCGACATAGCAATGTCGTCGTCATTCACGTCACCGGTTCGGAGTATGCCCGATCGTCGATCTCGCCATCTATCTGGCTCGGACAACTCGGGATCAACTCTCCGGAGTCTACGTCCTCGTCTTCATGTACGGACGCAGGCTTAGTCCGTCTTGCACTGGAAGGACTAGGGGGTCTACTGCTGCTGGGCACATTCTCGGTGGGATGGCTGTCTCCTGAAGAATCTGCATTGCCGCGCACAGATCGCCCCTTCCACTTTCTGGGCGGTTGGGATTGGGACTTAACGAATGCTTGCGCACGCAAGTCCTTCATAGTCCTTCAGGAGCTGGGCCGGTGCTTTTCCTCATGCTGCAATTCACGGATGCGAGTACTGAACTCTCAATCATGGTAGGACGATGCCGTACCAGCATATATGAGCTTCCTGATTTGGTCTCTGCAGGGGAACTGTGTTACCCCACCAAGTGGCCTGATATTTCACTGGCAACGCTC